CTGCAGTCGCTCCACCTCACGGCGTGGATGCTTCATGGTTGAGTCGCTCAGAGCGGCAATGCTCACAGGCCGTCCAACAGGTCCTGCTGGGAAGTAGAAAGCCCTCTACGCGGACCACTTATTTAGCCAAGTGGAAGAGGTTCTCCTGTTGGTGTGAGCAACGAGCTACGTCTCCCTCGCAGGCTCCTATCCCCTTGATACTGGAATACCTCCTGTCCCTAAGACAGCAAGGCTTGGCGACATCCTCAATCAAGGTTCACCTCGCCGCTATTTCCGCTTTCCACCCAGGGGAACTCACGTCCTCGGTCTTCTCTGACCCGATGGTCATTAGATTCCTCAAGGGCTTAGACCGGCTGTACCCACAGCAACGACAGCCGGTTCCGATGTGGGACCTCAACCTCGTCCTCTCCAGGCTCACAGGGCCTCCGTTTGAACCATTGGCGACCTGCTCACTCCTGTACTTGTCTTGGAAGACAGCCTTCCTCGTAGCCATCACCTCAGCACGGCGCGTCTCGGAACTTAGGGCGCTGACATCCGAGCCCTCTTACACGGTGTTCCGTAAGGACAAGGTGCAGCTTCGCCCCCATCCCGCCTTTCTTCCAAAGGTGGTGTCGCCTTTCCACGTGAACCAGGATATATTTCTCCCGGTCTTCCATCCGAAACCGCACGCTACTCGTCAAGACCAGCGTTTACATTCTTTGGACGTTCGCAGGGCCCTGGCTTTCTATATTGACCGTACAAAGCCATTTAGGAAGACGACGCAACTCTTCGTTGCGGTGGCCGACCGGATGAAAGGCTCACCGGTCTCTTCACAGTGCCTGTCCTCTTGGATTACGTCCTGCATTCGTGCTTGCTACGACCTGGCCGGTGTACCAACGCCACGCCTCACTGCTCACTCCACGAGGGCCCAGGCCTCCTCGACTGCCTTCCTGGCTCAAGTCCCGATCCAGGACATTTGTAGAGCTGCAGTGTGGTCTTCGGTCCACACATTCGCTACTCACTATGCCCTGGTGCAACAATCCAGAGACGATGCTGCTTTCGGGTCAGCGGTTTTGCACACAGCAATGTCTCACTCCGACCCCGCCTCCTAGGTGGGGCTTGGGAGTCACCTAACTGGAATGGATATGAGCAAGCACTCGAAGAAGAAAAGACGGTTACTCACCGTTGTAACTGTTGTTCTTCGAGATGTGTTGCTCATATCCATTCCAAACCCGCCCCCCTTCCCCACTGTCGGAGTAGCCGGCAAGAAGGAACTGAGGGGGCGCTGGGTCGGCTGGGGTATATATCCAGCGCCATAACGGCGCCACTCCAGGGGGCTCCACAGCCGACCCACCGGGTGTTGCTAGGGTAAAAATCTTCCGACGATCGTGCACGCGGCGCGCACACACCTAACTGGAATGGATATGAGCAACACATCTCGAAGAACAACAGTTACAACGGTGAGTAACCGTCTTATCTCAGGATAGTGAGATACTTTTCAACATTTGTATTGATTTCTTGATTGTGGTTTCATTACCACTTGTTTTCACAAGCAGTAACTAACCTCATTTAAAAGGATTTCTATACTGGTGTTGAGATACTCTGTGCTAACCCCTACAGTCAATAAGGGGGGCTTCATAGTTACTAAAAGGTTATCAGGGGATTTGAGGATATGGCAGCAACTAGAGATTAATAACTGAACATTTTGCCAGTTATTGTTGAAATTTAATTCTACAGCAACTGAGATGTAATGTTGGAACGAGTCAGTGAATCTACGGCCCTTTTTTTTTAAATGCTATTCTGTATTTGCAGACAGATGGTAGAAATTGTGTGTTACTTTTTCTCCATTTAATCCATGTCTTCCCCATCCCTCTTATTCTCTTGCCACCAGGGGACACAGCAGCTGCTAAGAGTCATCTTGCTAGTTATAACTATAGCCTTTAGTGCAGGCATTCCCAAACTTTTTCATAGTGTGGACCATGTATTAATAGAGAGATTTTCTCATGGATCTCAAGCCGTCCTTCTCTTCACCATTGTGCAGACCACCCACCTCCTCATTTGCTACTGCATGACATCTCTGTGCAATTCCAGCAATTTTGTAAATGGAAAAATATTAACTGTTGATAAATGGGTCGATATTAAATGCATCAAGTGTTTTGTCCCTTTGAAAACACTTAATCAGACTCTTAATTTCATCTCCTTCCCATCTATTCTTTTCCTCTCGCCTCCTGCCCTTGGCTCTCTGCTGACTAGTCCTCCACTCCCCCCACATATACTTTTCTGCCACTTTGTTCCCTTTGCTCTCCTTGTCATACTGCCCAGCAACCTGGTCCTCTTTTGCCCACTGCTCCATACAGTGGTCACCCTTAAATTTGTCAATTATCTTTGACACCAAAATAACTTTACTCCAATATTTGCAGTATTCAGGATATTTGCTATAGTAAATATAGGGAAATGCATTGGAATATTGCCTCCGCCTACTTGTTTTCAGCTGTTTCTTCAGGACTCCAAACTCTTCTTTGCAATCCAGAAGATGCAATGAGAGCCAACACAATTTTTTAAATAGGTTGCCTAATTTCACACAAAATGGAGCAAAAATTCTTTTTAGGGAAGAATGTTCATGCATGGCAATGCCCTAAGTAATGATTTAATTCTGTAGCCTCTCCACAATGAGCACACTTGCAGAGTTGGTTGCATATCACCAAACTGAGAAGCCTATACTCAAGCAAGAGTCCATATACTTCAGGATTTGGCAACTACATTGTGCCATCCTCCCCACCCCCCGAGTCCTTTGGAATGTTAGGGTGTTGTTAAGCTACAGCAGCCCAGCAGAAGTGGTATGGAACATTCTATCTGTGTAGGTAAACATGAGCAGAATGGTAGGTAGCAGGGTAATCTTTGCTATGCCTGATTTAGAAAGGAGGATGGATGGATGGATAGATGATTCCAAGGCCTAACAGAACCATTGTGACAGTCTTGTCTGACCCTCTGTATAACACAAGCTATACACAGGGGTAGGCAACCTATGGCACGCGTGCCAAAGGTGGCACAGGAGCTGATTTTCAGTGGCACTCACACTGCCTGGGTCCTCGCCACCGGTCCAGCGGGCTCTGCATTTTAATTTAATTTTAAATGAAGCTTCTTAAACATTTTAAAAACCTTATTTACTTTACATACAACAATAGTTTAGTTATATATTATAGACTTATAGAAAGAGACCTTCTAAAAACGTTAACATGTATTACTGGCACACGAAACCTTAAATTGGAGTGAATAAATGAAGACTCAGCACACCACTTCTGAAAGGTTGGCAACCCCTGCTATAGAACTTCCCCCAAAAGAATTCCTATAGTATATGTCTTTTAGAAAAACATTGAATCTTCATTTAAAAAATTGTCAGTGACAGAGACTCCAACACAACCCTTGGTAAATTGTTCCAATGGTTAGTTACTCTCACTGCTAAAAATTTACACCTTATTTCCAATCTAAATTTGTCTGGCTTCAACCTCCACTCATTGGATCGTGTTATACCTTTGTCTGCTAGATTGAAGAGCCCATTATTAAATATTTGTTCCTGTAGTGGGTTAGCAGCAGGGGCTCCTCACCCTCCAGGTCCATGGGAGGCTACTCCGCCTCACTCTGCCTCTGTTCATCGCCTGCTGTGGGGAATTAGTGGGGCAACAGTAGTCTACAGCTGGAGTCTATAGCATGGGCCTGTGGTCAGGGGCCAAGCGACAAACACAGTCAGGGAGGCCAGGCCCTTAGTCAGGATGGGGCACTGAGAGTCTATAGCTCGGGCCTGTGTTCAGGGGTTCGGGCATCCTAGCTCCAGCAGATGGCCGACAAGCACTGGCTTCTCAGCCTAGAGATGGGGAGACGACCACCCCAGGGTTGCAGTGGCAGGGGGGACACAGGCCCACCCACTCCACTGCGTCCCAGCCCAGGGCCCTAACAGTGGCAGAGGGGTCTGCTACTGGGTCAGCGGGGATCCTGACCACAACACGCTGACTGGATCTACGGCAACAACACAGCCGGACTAGGGTTGGCTGTCCCTGGCAGGGCCACTTCCTTACTCCCCCTCGGGTTGTACCTGGGTCTGTAGAGGGTTGTCCAGATCATCCAGGTAGAAGGCCTGTGGTAGTCCTGATAACTCCTCCAAATTGGGTCGGCATACGGCTCCGGCCAGTTCTCAGCTCCCCAGCGGCCTGCAGCAATCTCACAGCTCGGGAGCAAGCAGGAGGCATCTGGCTCTTCTGGTGGCTGCAGCCCAACTGAGCTCCCAGACCCACCTTTTATACTTCCTGTCCTGCCCATGACTTCCAGCAGGAGGGGTGAGCCCGGCCTGGCTCCACCCACCAGAGCTCAGTGAGGGGCTCCTCACCCTCTGGGTCCATGGGAGGCCACTTCACCTCACTACAGTTTCCCATAAAGATAGTTATAGACTGTAATCAAGTCATCTCTTAACCTTCTCTTTAAGATAAATAGATAGTGATACTCAAGCATACAATAAGGCCTGTTTTCTAACCCTTTAATTATTCTTGTGGCTCTTCTATGAACCCCTTCCAATTTATCAACATCCTTCGTGAATTGTGGACATTAGAACTGGACACAGTATTCCAGCAGCAGTTGCATCGCTGCCAAATACAGAAGTAGGAGCTTCTCCACCTTTCCCACTACCACTCACACTTATTGCCAGAGACTAGTAGTTGGCATGCATGGATGAGAAGGCCCAGATTTATTCTGTTAGGACCAAATCCTGTAGCTACGAAAGTCCATGGCAAAACTTCCAGGAATTACAGTGGGAACAGAATCCGGCCCTTGAATAATAAACAAGGGAGACTGTTTTCTGCCTGTGCAGGAAAAAATCTGGGGTGTAGACCTAACACGAGAAGAGTTCAGAGTGGTTCTTTTGAGTGCTGGTGCAATGCACCAGTGGCAATCATGATGGAGAGGACTAAAGGGAAAAAATGCATTAGTTATTTATATTGTAATAGTAAAAACTATTATCAAAGCATTAAAAGTGCAGCTGAGCTAGTACACAGAGTCAGACAAATTCTCCTCTTGGATATAATGGGGCAGCCTGGCTCTTAAAAGGTTCCTTACAGCAGCCCTCTTTCCTTTTCCATTCCCTATACAATCCCTGAGATACAACATAGCACCCTCTACCATCAGACTCCATTACTGCATTTCAGTGATTCACATAAAGCACTTCTTTTCTGTTAAATGAAGTGATATCAAATTATTGTGTTTCTCCTGTTAGTGTGTCAAATCCCCACAAAGTGCTTAGTATCTGCAGAGAGCCCACAGATCTCATCAACTTCAGCTGTGGACTACACCTCTCAAAATTTAACTTGTTAAGTTTACGAAAGGTAAAATTTGCAAAAATTTACTGTTGAAAACTCTAAGCTGTCTGCACTTCTTTTAAATAGATATTTGAAAATGAACATACATCAGTGTAGCATTCATGGAAATCAACTAATGTACTCAGTTTTGAAACTGTATGGTTTACAGTTAAAAATCAATGATTGCTGTGTCATCTGCAGATAAGTTTGACTTGTTCATTTTCAGGAGCTCATTAAGGCAAAGATTTTTCTCTTCATTCCTCCAAAACATCTTAATTGTACTGGTATGTGAAGCCCTATTATAGCAAAATCTGTTAGTGATTATTTTAAAATCTTTTGATATAAAAGATTTACTGTGGTTCTGTTATTATTCTGTTGCCTTCCACTATATCCCAGGACCATGAACATCATTATAGATAACAGTGATTGGTGGCATGTGTTGTATTCATAGATGCCACACTTTAAACTTTGCCTTTTACAGCACCTGTTCTGACCTGTAATTATGGATGCAAAAGTGTAATTTGTGATATTATAAAAGTGATATACAATATTTAAACACAAGTGTACGTTCTCTATTCAGTACATCCCGGGCCTGTTTTGATGTTCACGTTTTAGACATGAATCAGAAGGAGACCGCTCTTCATTTAGGGAAAATGTTCTTTCAAGGCAAAAGAATTGTTTGCCAGAAAGTTGCAGTGCCTTAGTGCTGTACTGAATTGCACTCTTTGCTTCTGTTGGTGAAGGTTATTAATATTATGACAGATTGTACTCAGTCAATATGTTTTCTGCCTTCCACTCTCCTTTTCTTTTAAAGCCTCTTTCAAAATGGCAAGTCATAGATCAATGGAAATATCAAAGGTTGACACGGAAATTTTAAAGGAACAGTTATAGCAGGGGTCGGCAAAGTTCGGCACGCAGCTCACCAGGGTAAGCACCCTAGCGGGCCGGGCCAGTTTATTTACCTGCTGACGCGGCAGGTTCGGCCGATCGCGGCCCCCATTCGCCGCGGTTCGCCGTCCCGGGCCAATGGGGGCGGCGGGAAGCGGCGCGGGCACAGGAGAATTTGAACTGAGAGGAGCTAGGCCCTGAGGGGGCATAGGCTCTGTCAATCTGTTTTTTCACTTCAGCAGGTGATAACTTCCCTGTCAACCATCTTGTAAGACTTTGCCCCAAACTGAGTGAGAAGGGAACAGATAGGGAGAGCACAGGAGAATTTGAACTGAGAGGAGCTAGGCCCTGAGGGGGCATAGGCTCTTAATATAACTGTTAATAAGGTGCTAGACTGACAAACTAAAACCTCTATGGTGGTAGTAATGTTTTTTCCTGAAAAATTAATTTTTTTAATTTTTAGTCTATTAACTATCTACTCAGAGTTAAAACCCAATCTTCTTATGACGGTGGAAGACTAGCAGCAGGTTAATTAGGGTGAGCACAGTCCAATTTATTGGAGTTGTACAGAATGTACAACTAGTTGCTTTGCAGCCAAGTGGTGTACGTATTCATCTGGTGCAAGCAGGTCACAGCCCTCAGAGCCCATGTACAGCATCTTGAGTTCAGAGTTACTGAAGACACAGAATGGGACTGAACTATTTGTACAACATCACAGATCCTAGTGAACGCCCTTCTTGGCCACCCACTAGGACTGCTGTGAGGAGAATCCAAGCCTCTGTTTCTCTCGGTTCCCTGGAGTGTTTCATGCTCCTGGAGCCTGAATGGAGTTCAGCCACTGTCCCAAGCTTGGGGTCCCTAGCTCTGGCAACTCCCCTCCCAGAGTATTGGAACCCACTGTCCAACTGCCCCCCTCCCCCTGGATGAGCACAGTGATGACCCTTCAGACGCCTCAGTGCTCATATAAACCCCTTTCCCAGAACTCCATCCCAAAGGTGCGAAGCTTCTGATTTAGTTTAACTCGCTCAGGAGACACACACTTTGTTCAGCCTAAAAACTTTGTGCTGTTTATATTTAATCATGTAGAGGACATGAGAATTTAGATCACAAAACAAAAAAACCAATAAATGCAATGTCCATCACTAGCTCACTCTTCACTGAGGAGTCCTTGGGGGGGTGGGTCACCTGTGTTCTGGCAAGCGGGCAGGGTCCTCCCTCCCCATGCCTAGTCTGCCCCTACAGCACATCCCTCATCTTAATCTGGTTCAAAACAGCTGTCCCAGTCTCCTCCCCCCCACCCTTCCCCGTGAGTCCCTTTGTAGGTTCTTGCTTGGTTTGTTCTGCCCGTTAGGAGAAATGGGAAACTACCAAACTCCTCTCCCTATAGACAACAGGAGGGAAGTCTCTTTTTTCTGGTAGAGCAAAACTATTATCCCAGGGTGTTTTACTTTAAGTGCTGATCATTCACCATTGTCTAGGCCCTGGCAGAGGTATGATACAACCCTGCTAACTCATGGTGGATCCACATGCATATAAGGCTTTCCATGACAGTAATTTCATGATACAATTGTCATAAAATCCTCCAAAATTCAGAAGTGGTACACACAGAACCCACAGTTCATCACAGGCATAGCCTATAAAGATGTAGAGCAAGCCCACCTACAAATTGCTTCTCAGATCCTCCAGTTGAGAAAGCCAGTCTCGTGCTGGAAAGGGTGCCTATGTGGAATGGAGAGAGACACCTTCTTAGGACCTTCCTTCTGACAGAGATAGTGAAGACTGATAATTCCTTGCACACAGTGACTCCAGAGGATGGAATTACAATACAGAGACAGACAAGCTGTGATGAGTGGCGAGTTGATGTTCAGAAATATAGACAATGGGTATGTGGTTACTGTGCAAACTGCATGATGACTTGCCTGCCAGGTGCAAACATGGCAGATATCACAAAAAACCTAAACAGAACCTATGGTGGTTGTCTCTGTTGGTACAAATGGCATAGGGAAGTGTAGGAGAGGTTCTGGAAGATAAAAATTCCAGGTAGAAAACTTAGATTCAGGACATCAGTGGTAGCTTTCTCTAAAATATTCAGCCAGGCAGTAGGAACTTCAGGATTTCAATGACTGGCTGAGAAGATGGTGCAAAAAGGCAGATAAACTTATTAGACGCTGGGGAATATTTTGGCAAAGTGGAGCCTATGGAGGGGGGCTGGTTTCCACCATAATCTAAATGAAACTGGACTGCTGGCAGATTAAATAAACCAGATTTTGGGGAGTATTTAAGTTAAGAGTGAGGGGAAAGCTGCTAGGAGCTGAGGAGCCTGTAAATTGGACACATATTAAAGATACTGATAATAAAACAGTATCAGTGTATCCAGTAAAGGGTAGGATGCAAATTACAGCTGAACTAGAACAGGAAGAGGAAGTTAAGAATATTCAAAACTCAAATTGGACATTTTATATTGATAGCAAGAATATCCAGTTTTAATTAATGATAAATTGTGTGAAAGGGATATTGAACCTCATGCTTCAGAGTTAAACCACTCAGAATGAGACCTAGTGGAAGGGTGGGGGTTGGAAGGGGAAGATTATTCCACAGCTGCCTGCTGTGAGGTTCTCTGAAGCACTGGATACTGGCCACTATAGGAGAGTGGATACTGGACTATTTGGACCTTGGATCTGATCCAGTCTGGTAATTCCTATCTTGTTATGATTATGTACACATCAAATTTAAAAAAAATTATAAACTAAAATCTGCTCTGGGTAACAACATAAAAGCACACATCTGAGCAAGATTTTTAATGGCTAAAAATCCCTGTTTTTCATGTTCTACTTACTGCAAAAGTCTGAATGAATTTTCTTTAAAGATTTTTTTAATTCATTTCTGGTTCAGAAATTTCAGCCTAAAACAGATTCTTTGGGAGAATCTCAAAGCTCAATGACATTAGGAGCCAAGAAAATGAACATGCCATTCCACCGATAATGCTTTGCTCTGCCTAAGCCATATTTAAAAAGCCCTTGTATCCTTCCAGTCTCATCTTATTTCCTTTTTTCAAGCTATCCCTTAGGCATGGGCCCTTCCCTGACTTGTTCTGCTATGCTTCCCATCTCTCTTTCAAGTCCTCCCTTAATCACACTTACTTTAAAAGGTCTATAAAACCTAGCCCTCCCTGACACATTTTTTTTTAAAGTAGAAACTCCAGAACAATGAAGGCCCCCTCCAAAAAATAAATAATTAAAAAAAAAAAAAAAAACCTACAGATACATGCTAAAATTCACTGTTCATTCACTTTTGCTTTATATTGTATCCCTTCCCCCATCCTTTGTCTGTACATTGTAAATTTTTTATGGCAAGAATCTTGTTTGCTTACTTATCTGAAAAGTGCTTAGCACATTTGTGCTACTTGCATACCATTTCATTATTTGTATAATCTTTATCTGAAATTATCTAAATTCAGTTTAAACAATTTATCCCAATTTTAAGGAGTCCAGAGTTTGGTGGGGTTTTTTGTTTTTTGTTTAAAAAGAGTTATTTATAGGTTTGTTTTGATCTACCTTCATAGTTTTAAAGGAGTCTTTTCTTTAAGTGTACTCATAATTCAGATTCAGTTATATGGATTAAAAACGAAATATACATTCAAAAAAAAATCTGTGACAAATATGGGATTTTTCAGCCCCTGCATCATGTAGGTCTCATCTTAGAATTTCACAGTTGTGTGCAATAATGGAAGAAAATTGCTGTTACTCATTTCCTTTTCTTAGTATGTGCATTGAAGAGAGTTTTAGCAACGGAAGTGACAAGATATTTTTCTAT